TATGTGTAGGGCTACAGTCCCAATGTGGAGGTCATGAGTTCAAATCCCGCTCGTGACCCTTTCCGTGTAGGCTCTTTTCCCTACTTTCCTTTCTCTCTCTTACGAACACGATCCAGCAAAGGCCAAAAAACTAATTTAACAAAAAAAAAAAGTCATACTATAGTATGGCGTTTTTGTCAAAAAAGGTCATGATTCAGAATGTCCTGAAAACCTGTCAGGATGTAGTATGTAGTGGGAAAAGTGTCCTGAATGTGTCTAAAGACAGCGTAGGAAGGTACTTCCTGAGAAAAAACACTTTATGTATTTGGTCCTCAATAACAAAAAAATCATGCTATAGCATGTCGTTTTTGTCAAAAAAGGTCACGTTTCAGAATATCCTGAAAACGTGTCAGGATGTAGTATATAGTGGAAATACTTTAATGCATGTCGTAGAAATCACCTTTTTGGGTGCTCGGACCCTAATAACCGCTCCAAAGATGCGACTTCTACAGTTTCATTTTGCAGAAGCTTTTATGCAACGCGACCCATCTGAGAGCAGACACAACACAAGCAATGATCTAGTCAGGCGAAAACAATTTGGATCAGTGCCATAGAACAGGTTCAGGTGTGACAGGGCGTTGATGCCAGCAGCAGGAATTTTGTTGTTGTTGTTTTTAACTTTCCTGAACCTCACAGAGAGCAGTTCTGACAGTTTTATAACCAGAGCTATGACTGATCTGCAAGTGCAAAGCTGTTAAAAAAACAAAAACTGCAGAGCTTTCAGGTTCTCTGCAGCTCAGCGAACACCGATCGTTGTTTTAACAGACAAACGGAGATAAAATTTTATGAATAAATAATACATGATCAATGCAGATAGTCAGTATTTATTTTGAGATTTTTTAAAGGCTTATGACAGACAGTTATCATTGCACTCTCATAAAGTTAAATAACTGTTAAGACATGGAGTACATTTTTACAAAAAAACTGTTCAAACTGAAGGAACAGACTTCTAGTTAAAATCCAAAAACACTGCTTTCCTACATTTCCCATAATTCAACAAAGAGCATTGATTTATTCATTTTTTCACATCTGACAAAAATCCCCTCGAAGTGAAAGAAAAATGCAGTTCACAGATCAAGTGTCACACCTCATGAAAATAAGGATCAAACTACGTACTAGCAGGTTTAAAAAAAAACATTGCAGACAGGGTGATCTGTTCTGCACTATGTTGTTGAAACACATGCACGCATATTTATTTTCACCAGCATAGCACAAGCCTACATTCTAACAACAACAAAGATAACCGTGTTAACAGATCCTGTCTGAAGATTGTGGTTGTTTTTATGCATCTTTCTTCACTTTGCAGAGGAAACACTTTTAGTTGCCGTTGGCGTTCTATCGTTTTAGAGAAAGCACCTAAAAGCATCGCTTGTAGCAGAAGTACACAAAACGCTCACAGGGTCACACAGAGGAAGCCATCGAGTTAGAGAGAATATAAATAAAAGCAAGGTGGTAAACAAGTTCTCCAGAATATTTCTGACCATTTGGGACATTTTTACTTATTCATGCGTATCATTAATATGATGTTTTACAATATTTCTAGTAGCAGTCGAATATCCAGGATGCTGTTTATCTATAATATAGCAGAAAACAGTTAAAACCACAACATGGTTGGTATATATGTGCTTTAATGCGAAAGTCAAATAAAACAGTGGAAGAAATGCACACTTGTACTACAGCTGCATGATTGGCCCTAAATTGCTAATGTGAATATGTTTTAATTACAATTTAATATATTATCACACTGACATGAAGTGGAAATACATTTAACATATTTAATTTTTGTTTTGGTTAATGTTAGTAGGTTAATTTAGGATATATGTGGCAGGGCTGGCTTAGATTTAAACTATCAGGGTTACAGCAGCTTGAAAAAAAAAAGTGACTAATCAAAGTAAAAACTGTGTTCAGTGTTTCACTAAGTGATCAGAGAAGGTAAAGAGCTGCTACACCGAAGGGGTCCTGAACTGATATAAGAGCACAAGACGAATGTTTATATAGTGAAGAACCACAGCCTGCCAATAATCAGTTATAATAGTCTGTATATAACATAATGAAGATAAGTAATATTCGTTATAAGATTATGTCATCAGCTACAAGACAGAATACAAATGCCGTTAGAATAGGTTCAATGTCTGCAGACCCCTCATTCATTAAAGAGCCCATAACTATTCCTGACTCACCACCTTGTTCTAGACACCCACTAATGTTGTAACGAATATTATCGACAAGTATCCATATATAGTGCAGATATGTGATAATATTTTATATATATATTTATAAAATCTATATAAATTTATTATAATAACTATTTTTCTTATCATATATTTAGGTGTCATTGTAGCAATGTGTTTGATTTCGGTGTGGCTTCCACAGTCTCACCCTATAAGCCTGTAAGATCTACTATAGCTTTGATAAAAATGGTATCGTCTCTCAGATACGGGCTCTTGCCGGCCAGTTTGGCCAGCGGACAGAAGAGAGGGCAGCCGCTGGCGATGTTCATCTCGCTGATCGGCCGCTGGAAGGATGTGGAGGTGACATCCGGCCGGAAAGCGTCGATAATGTGCTCCCTGTTGTTCTGATCCAGGAGCATCAGAGTCACCTGAGGAAACATAAAAAAAAGAGAGAACGTCAGCTTCTTTTGTGTCTTTTATGGTGCTGATTCACACTGATGGAACATTAGGCTACATTTGTCTTTCCTACCTTCTGACTGAACGGCCACTTGAGCAGAGCGTCACACTTGCCCCTCATGACGACGAAGAACAGCGAGAGGTGCGTACCCCGACCCGTCCCGTCGCCGTTCAGATACAGCCTCAGGCACATTTTGTAGCCATATTTGCTGGAGTAAAACGCTGCAAATGGGGAAAAAAAGAAAATCCAGAATGTAAACAGAGCCTAAAAACAGTGTCATGTGAGAATAGGAGTGATCAGCACACTCCCTGTAGAACAACAAGGGTGTAGGCGCGTGGAATTCCCCTCGTCTGCTGGCCAAGAGTTAACATCATGTCAACCGCATGATCTTTGAGCTCACACACATTCAAATATAACCTTTCACTCTGACCATAAGACATCCCACGTGTGCAAGCATGACCTTTAGAAGTGAAGATGGGCGGCGACTACATCCGTCTTACCTGGTGAGAACATGGCAGGTGCTCGACCAGCCACAGCGTCCTGCCTGCGACGGGAGAAGTCTGAGATTTTCCACACAAATATCCCGTCGTAGGTGCAGAACTGGAGTTCTCTGACCAGCTGTTCGTTCTCCGAGAGCTGCAAGTCTCTCATAGTCAGCGTCCTCTCCAGCTGTCGTACTTTGTTAGACAGGTTTTCAATCTTTTCTTGGTCTAAACGATGCTGATGCGAGAAAGCCTCCAGTGTAACTGAACTACGCTCCACTTCCCGGTTTAGGACACACACGATGTTTTCTAAAGCGCTTACCTGTCGGAAAGGAAAAAGAAATACATGAATTTGCATTCTCATTTTTAAAAAGCCATAAACAACAGTGGTTCAGCACAAAAGCTGTTGAGACTCACTTTCTTTTCCAAGCCCACGGGTTGCACGGAGGCTGCAGCTCCGGCTCCCTCCTCAGGAGCCCTGTACAGGCCCAGACCACAGTCCTCCTGCCACTCCCCGGCACCAGGAGCCTCTGCACGAGTCCGAGCCAAAGACATGACCATCGGCAACAGCAGACGCAAGTGCTCCATGGTGCTGCCGTGCTCATGGTCGCTGAGCTTCCCGTTCTCAATCTGAGAGGACGCAGAAGAAACACAGTAGAACATGTTTAGAGCCTGTGCTTAGAGTCAAACAGAAAACTTTAAAACTGCAGTCAGTGATTGTAAAAAGTCGGGTTTTATCAGTGGTTTGAGCCTTTTATGTATAAGGATACAATTGGTACAAAATGCTGTTCTAACAGTATTTTACAGATCTTCAAAGACTCTTCTACCCATATGGATCACAAAATATTCAGTGTACTAGCAGGTCCTCGATACAACTGGACCGTAGCCACCTAGCAGCAGCTACAGCAGCCTGCGATGGGGAGCATCGGGGGGAACATCGGTAAATTTTAGCGTTTATCGCTAAGAAAATGTTCAGCAAGTCATATGTTTTGCCTGTGACAAGGTTGGGCATGCAGCCAAATGAAAAAATTGGTCAAACCGGTAAAACGAAGAAGTTAGTCTGGAGTCCTGTGTGGACTTCCACGTGGCACAAGCCTTGTTGCGTAAACAGCTACATGGCAGTGATGTATGACGTGGCTCTAACTCGGAAAAGCAAACAGGTTCTTAGGAGGTGCGAGAATTGAACCAACTAAGCACTGCTCCTAGCACCAGCAGCGAACTAGCATCTGGTTCTTCTTGGTGGAAAAGGGTTATGAGTGGCTATTTTCTTTTTGTCCAGATTATTAGAGACGAAACTGGAGATACTGGAAATACCCTCAGACCAACAGTAAGTGCTTTTAAATGATGATCTGTTTTTAAAAGTCCCTGCTGAGACCAAACTGTGCTCATATGTTACGCTTACACTGCAAATTAGAGGCAGAACAAGAGAATAATTGTTCACAAATTATCAACCATTGATGATGTTTAAGGTCAACATCGGTCACGTGATTGGTAAAATAAAGACTATGTACGATAAAGATGACCATTTTTGAAAAGATAATCTGAAAACCTGGCTTTAAAGACCAAATGAGCAACAATATACACTGAAGGTGAAGAAAAAAAAAAGATCCTTCATCTATTTTCAACACTCAAAATCCTGTTTAATCTCCTTCATCAGATCTATGACTGGGTCTTGACAGAATGCTGGCAACAAACACCTCCAACCGCCAACTGTCATTTGTCACTGAAATATGTCTCAACTGTGACTGCCGCTTGGGACAACGTGACATGACATTTGTCAACGTGACTCAAGAGCACGACAGATTAGGTAAAAAAAGCAAAGAAGGAAGTAAATCTTTCATGTGAAACAAATACAGAAGTGCTCATGTACTGTCTCAGAGGAGATGACAAAATGCTGTAGCATGTGATTCCCAAACATTCAGTGGCTCCTCATGCTTATGGATGGTGGCATTGTCATCTTGGGAGAAAACAGCTTTCCATTAATTTGCAGTGACCCTTCTGTCCAAGGGGGCTAATGAATCCAAACCATACCAGTAAAATATCCTCCAAAGCATATTAGGGCAACCAGATCACCTATCTGTAGGGGCAACAGTTTGGATTTTTCCTTTAAACTGTCACCTGCCTGTAAATAGATGAAATTACGGAACGTACCACAGATTTACAGCCCACTTCGCTGAATGGACAGGCGCTCTTTGACTTGGCACAGGACTTGATGTGGTCATTGAACTGAAGATAGGACAGACAAAAAAAAAAGCGATAAGGGTTAGTGAACATGAAAGTGCCAGTCAGAAAGAAACTTAGTGGTCAAAAAGAAACTGATGCAACATTCCCTGAAATCTTGTCTAGAACAAATTTTCACTTTCACTGTTCACTTCGTGGAACTCCCAGAAGATTCTAGCTTGTACATTTATTTTCATTTATATGCTCTGTCAGTTATTTGTGTTTTGTATCATTTCATGGGGTTACGGTTATGAAACTGTCAAGCAGCGTAATTCACAGCTAATAAAGTTGTAACTTCAATTTATATGGGTAAATGATTAAAAGGTAAACATGAGAAGCAGCTCAAACCTTTTCTCTTGGGATTTTTTTCTTGCCACAGTCTTTGCATTGCAGGGGAAACTTCACACAGATCTCATCGTGGGCCTTGAAGATAAAATAACACCATAAATTCAAATATGATCACGCGTCACCATTTATGCAAACAGCAGGTGCTCTACTTCACATCATCGCTGTGGCTCACCTTGATGTCTTTAAAGTTGAATGTCACTTTGCAGTACTTGCAGTTGAGAGTTCTCGCCTCGCATTCTCTCTCGTTATGTCTGTCTTTCTCCGTGCGAAGGACGAGGCTTTGGCAGGCCTCGCATTGTACCCTTTCAAATTCACAGCGGCCTTCGTGCTGAGCCTAAAAATAAAGGGTCACTGTTATTATCAAACTGTCTGACCTTTTCATACAGAGCAGGCGTGTCTGGTATTCATTATGTTTGAAAGACATCATCAGAGATCTATTTGTTGACAGTATAGTATTATAAGCATTATAAGTTACTAAGGTGTGGTTTATTTCTACAGAGTATTGCATGTGATTGCATGTTTTGCACAACAGCAATGAGTGAGCGGCGGTTGTGGTACAGGATGTACTGACAGCTGCAGTGCGGAATAATAGGTGGTTCTTTTGTTTACGCAACTATTCATTTCATTTAACTTTAACAATAAAAACCAGGTGCAAGATAAAAATCCAGTTCGCCGACTGAATAATAAATGCAACAAAGAACGGAAAAATATCAATAGAATTCAGACGTACTTTCCCTGGAACCCACTGAAGTATATTATAAATACTATATGACTTCCTCAAACTACACCTGAAAATGGAAGCGAGTCTCAAAGAAAACGAGAAGTCTGGAAAAAAAACAGAAATAAAAACTTGAAGTGGGAGACTTAATTATTGCAAAACAGGTTGTTTCTGGTTTAGCTTAATAAAGTTTGCTAAACTAACAAAAAAAAAAAGATGAAAAATGGCGGGAAACTAAAGCGGCGGAGCTTCACCGGGAGGTGGAGCCTATCAACCGGAAAGTTTTTCTTCAAAATGACTCCCAACAGCAAGCTGCACCCGCCGACCAAGATAAACCAGGTAGGCTTGGCCTTCTTTTTCGATTTGACTCAGACTTTTCAGACACGCTTCATCGGCAAATCTTACAATGCATCGCCGACATAAACGTGAATCATCTTTAGGAACTTTCTAACTAGCTCCCTGTCCTTACCACAACACCGAGACGCCACGTGTAGCCTATTTTTCTTGCTAACTCTGGCTTTGTTTTTGTGTGCAGCTAACTGCATACAACAGCGCGTTCCTTTTCAGGCGGCGGTAACTCACACACTCGCACAAACATGTTTAGCATCTCACAAAAGAACGATAAACATTTACTAAGCGCCGTAATTAAAGGTTAGCGCACTTTGATCTCTTGGACGTAGCAAGCGAACACATGCTCCTCGATTGAAGGAAGTTACATCAGCAAGCAAACCAAATATGCGAAGCAGGCAAAATCAGCCACATTTGCCTCGTGTTGTCGTTCGACAGATTTCCCGCTGACACACCATTTTAACATGTAAAACCTGATCTCTGTAAGATCGTATGGTAACACAACGAAGCAAACGCTTTAGTAAACATGCTAACTTGCCAAAAACTGAGGTATTTACAGTAGAAACAAAACTGCAGACCGATGACGCTCATGCAGACACACAAACACTAAAAAACAAACCGCTTTGATGATTCTGACGGGGATTTTCTGTCTGAACATAATTCAAATAGTTCAATGTCTAAACATGTTCCTGTTTTATTTCCTCTAACTAGCGTGAAGTCTGCGGTTCATATCTCTGGTCAAGAACCCTCAGTTTAACCTTGCGTTAACTGGCCCAGCATGCTGGTACTTTCCATTGCTGTTGATAACTAAAAGATAGGCTGGGACTTTCCAGTCACATTATGTTTCACTTCCTCTCTGAGGAGACTGCTAAACATAAAAGCAAACACATTGTTGAGCGTTGAGAGCTTTGGGGGAAACTCATGACCTGGGAATGCGGATAATGTGACATGATACACTGCCACATGAATGACAAAGAACTGTTTTCATTTGAATGACACTTGTGTAACACTTGATATGGGGCAAACAGTCCAGCAGAGAGCAGTAACGCCCACATCACAGGAGAAAATTAACTTCATACTTTACCTCATACTCTTTTATAGATCCAGTCCAATTGCAGCCTTGGTTCAAACACCTGGCAGGCAGGCTTGCTATTTCTCTGCCTGCTGCATTGTCTGGGAATGCCTAGCAGGGGGACAAAGAACAAAGAGTTCAGGGAACTCGTGCGAAGGCAAGCAGAGCGTAGGCTGCATTGTGTGGTCAGGGAAACCCCCCGCCAGACTGAAGTCTTATTTTTTCCTCTAGATGGGCGTAAGAGATGGTATTCTGTTTTTTCCTAAAATAACCACGTGGGCTGAACCATGCATGTTTTCATGACTTACCTCATTACTATTTAGAATGGAAATTGGTTCTTCATATATTTCCTCTTGGCGGCAGGCTTCACAAGGCTTTGGGCCAGAGCTACCAAACAAAACAGGTTTGTGATTTGATAGTAAAAACAGCTGCTTGGCACCAACAGTCGGCAACAATTTTCCTGCTGATGCAACAACCGCTGACCAGTGTGGATCACAGCTCAAGTGGATGGATCATTAATCAATGCAAAAGCAGTGAGGGAAGCTTGTAACACTACACCAGTGGAGCAATAAGGAAAATGTATTTGCTTTTGCACTTTTGACGACAAATACATGAATACACACACACATACACACGCACGCACACAAACAAAAAGCATGTGTGTGTTACATGGTGAATTCACATGTACAGACACTTGGTGGTTTTCAAATCGCTCACGTGAAATCCTGTTTCACATGTAGTAAAATTCACAAGCACCCAATCACATGTGAAAACATGAACCTCACAAGTGCTTTTTGCTGTTGTGCAAATGATTAACAAAATGAGACTCTGCAATGTGCATGTTTTACAGATTTAGTTTAATGTACGTTTTAGATTAGATTTTATGCACATTTGATTAAAATGATTTAAAAGTCAGTTAAGTTCAGCTCTGTCACATTATGTTTAATGATACTGCCGAGGCGTAATTAAACATAATGTGACGCGCCAATTAAGTTGGAACAAATACATGCTATGATGAACACCGAGTGAGTCAGAATTTGGAAAAGAAGTGGAAAAGAAAACAATGGACACCTTTAGAATGAGTCAGCAATGGCCACATCCTTGTGAATCACTGACATCAGTGTTAGAGTCCAGTCATATGAGGGATGAGTCTGCATTTAGTAATTGATCTTGAGTGCAAAAAAAATTCCCAGAGGCGAGCAGAGACAAGAGCACAGGATATGCTGAAGCATGTCCAGGAAGAGGGAAGCATTTAGGAGGGAAGGAGGGGGTTTTGCATTTCACACTCTTGTGGGTGGTCTGAGGACCTCCAGTCTACCTGGTGAGCTGCTTGAAGCAGTGAACACAGAAGCGATGGCCGCACTGAGCCTGGACAGGCTTCCTCAGGACCTGGAGACACTGCTGACATTTGTATTTATTCTCCATGGGCACTGACAGCACACTGAGGGGGATCCCTGGTAAAGAGTTGGAACAGTCCAAAGAGATGCGGGCCATTATTCTCCATCAATCTGGTGCTATATCCTGTGAATGGACACCACAAAAAAACACTTTACTGCTAGTGTGGGGTGTGAAACAGAAAGTACAGCTGTCACAAAGATATGTTTTACCCTGACCGTAAATTACTAGCATGCCAAGTATGTATCAGCAAACATCTAAGCCCTTAAGCAAATAATTGCACAATGAGAATGTAATGCTGATTCATTCCTGTGAAACTGCTTGAGGTCATTTAGGATTGCCAACTCATTGGTCACACCAAAGATATGTGACATGTTAACCGCTTCACAACCACCAACCTTTCTTCACTAGAAATGACTTTAAACCATGTATGGTTTGTCATTGAAGTTGGACTCGGATCATATTTGGGTCTGTGAGTGTAAAGGCTTAAAATAATCAATGGTCATCATGATACCACACATGCAAATACCTTTGGTTTTTACATACATTCAAAAATATGTAAACTCCAGTGCAGCCTGTGTGCAAATAGAATGTGAAGAAAGCCTTTCTTGTTCTTGTGCTGTGAAACCAGTTCACACAACATGTTCATGTTTTGGCTTTTTAAAACTCACATAGATTGCAGAGACAGATCTAGCACTGATGCAAAAATAGCTAACATCTGTGCTGCTTCACAGAAAAAGGATGTGGACAGGAAATGACATAGTGATACTTCATATTTATTTGACACAGTTTTCCAGTAAACTTGTGATGACATCTGAAATGTTAACGGACATCTAAGGAGCTGAAAAGTCCAAACGATAGACAACTTACTAAAAAAATAGAAAATTATGCGAACTACACACAACAATGGTAACTAGCAAAGCATAAAGCTGCTGGTTACTGCACCACTTTATGTTCGACTATGTACGATCATTTCATGTGGTAATGACAGATTTTTAAAAACGCTCCATCTTCCAAACGATTTGGACTTGGGTCCCAGTGGAGACATTTGAAATTTTATAAAAAGCACCTCGACTAATATTCGTGCTTTTGCTGCCGCCCAGTGGCTGCTGTATGCTCTTGTGCATTAGGCCAGTGATTCTCAACCATGGGGCTGAGGCCCATTGTTGGGCCACGAGCAACGCCTACTGGGCCGTGAAACCAGGCAGCATCTCGAAACCAAACATCCAAAGCTCGTTGGGAAGCCGGTGGATTTTTTCAGGAGAAAAGAAAATGGGCTACAGATGCAGAAAAGATCTATCATGTCACTGACTGGTGACTCGAAGTGTGCTTTAAAAGCCGGCTACCTTGCAGCCAGACGTGTGGCGCAAAGTAAGAAGGCGTTTACGATAGCGCAGGAAGTGGTTTTACCTGCCGCGGCAGATTTGTGCCGTGACATGATTGGGGAGGCTGCTGCCAAGAAGCTGATGACCATCAAGACTCGGATCAATTGAAATTAAAGTGTTCATATTTAAATGGGCCCCGGGCCACTTTGTATTGGGAAACTTGGGCCTAGGGGTCAAAAAGGTTGAGAACCCCTGCATTAGGCTAAATATGGAGTACGCAGCTGGACGTGGTCATAAACTGTATAATTTACTGTCAGATCCTCAGATATTTGGACAGGGCAATTTTTGTAAAAGATGTGATTTCAGTGTGGACTTTTAGCTTTAATTCAACACTGTGGTAACCGCTAGAAATGACAGGCATTATTTTACATAGTCGGTTCACTTTCACAGGCTAAACAACCATTATACAAACTAACATAATTATAAGGGGTATTTTTACTACTTGGTTTCAAATCCTTTGCAGTCAACAAGTGCCTGTAGTCTGGAACCTAATGACCAAATGCTTAGTTTCCCGTCTCCTTTTTGCCAGGCGTCTTTAGTTGCTGCTTGTTTGTGGGTCATTGTGCGATCAGTTCTGGTCTTTACGAAGTGAAAAGCAGCTCAGCTAGGTTGAGGCCATGACCATTCCATTTCTTTGCTTTAAGAGGCCTCTGGGTTGCCTTTGCAGTATATTTTGGGCCATCGTCTATGCATACTGAGAAATGCTGTCCTATTGGTTTTGCAGCATCTGACTGAATGATGTTTCCTTTACTTGCATCAGTGTCTGTTTGGTTACATAATAGGAGTTCTGAAGAACTGCAACCAAAGTGCAAATTCAATACCTGGAATGAGCTTCAATAAAACAGGGCACAGGGCACACCTCGCCATAAAACTGCTTTTCAGTGAATTGTCAAGTCACTTTGAGCCTGTGAAAATGAAAAGACTCTGAAGCTATATATCGCTACTTCAGTTACATCTTGACTGCTTTATTTCACGCCCATTACGGACATGTACGCAGGCAAATTTACAAAAATCATGTTAATGTCCAAATAACTATGAGTCTGACTGCTATTTTCATATCTGTACTTCACTTGAACAAAAACTGAAAACCAGCAAGTCTCAGGACACCATTTTTCCTCGAAATGAAACAATATCTTACTTAACATCTAACTGCTCAGAGCAACGCTGTTATCAAGTCTTTTACGGGAGAACAACATTTTACACCGATCTCTATCTTTACAAGCTGACTAAAAAACACACAATCTGCTCTTTTGCACAATAAGCCACACCATCCAGTAAAACCAGTCTTCTAGAAAGGTTATGGCACAACAGGGCTTTCAACCATGTCCCACTCTTAGCAACTGAACGGATTAAAGTACGCTTGAGCACTTATGCACTAGAGTCCTTATCAGGCTATCAAAAAAAACAACAAAGCATATCCATGGAGCTTTCTGGGAATACAAGCGCATGTGCAATCTGACTCCTACTCATAAACAATGCCAGTAAAAAGCTGCAGGTATCAGCAGCTACATCAGTTTCAGTTACTGACAGTCAGTCCTAGAACTATGCAAATCAGACTAAAGTATGTTGTTGGAGTAGTTTCTCTCCCTACATAGTACCAAGGCTTAGGTATTATTTCCTTTGTACAAGAAATCAGCACACGTCTTTGCAAAAAAAAAAAAATCCCCTTGTTTAAAAACTCATCTGGCATATAAATATTTACTCTCTTAGTAACATATCATTTATCATCGAAAACTCCCTTGTGGGGAAAAAAGGAGTGGGAGTGTGTAATTCTCATAACCAGCAGATGTCGTCACATACTGAAATACTGCCGTACGGCCACAATCTGTCTCCTATCATACAGCATAAGCTGCAGAAAATAGTACATTAATGTATGCACGCATGTCAACATAAATCTAGTGTCACTAAAAAAAATAATGTGAAAAGAAGGCAGCTTTGTGATTTTTTTCTGCATGTCAGTAATAAGCTGAAGGCTACACAGTAATAACTAGTTCATCTAGTCTGTGCATTTGAAAAGCCAAATAGCTTCGAGCACTCATGTCAGACTACTAATTTTGCTGGCGTCACAGGATTTCTTAAAACACCAATCAAACAAAAAAAAAGTGTCAGCACTTGCTAAAATGGCAATCTGACAAGAAACAAGTTCAAGCTCAGCCTTTACCGTAAATGGGAAAGGGGTAACCAGGTTAGCTGATTCCACTAGAGAGAGATAAATGTCATATTTACAATACATATGACAGTGTTTGGTTAGAAAACACAACATTGCTGCAGCACGTCATGAGCGCTTCTTGATTTTTGCTGATGTGGCAGAACACTTAAGTCCTGGTTTTAGTAAACTCTTCCTTAATTCCATTTAAGCCTTTTCCCAGACAAAGAAGATCTCCAGGAACTTCTTCGTGGGGGAGTGAGATTGAAGGATAATTGCTTGTTGGATCGAAACTTAAAAAGAGGAAAGAAGTGAAAAAAGAAATAACCCTAATCCTGAAAGATTAGCGGCACCCATAGTTTCACTTCAGGAGGCGTCTCAACTGAAACTCAAACAGTAAAAGGAGGTCATAATCCAGATCTCATGATTAAAGGACTAATAGCTAGAACAACAAAAAAATGTCTCATGGTTCTCATGAGACTTATCATCCATCAGTAAGAACTGGAAATGTTTTAACCAACAAGCGGTATCGCTTTCAACTCATACATCCTGCCATCTGTTCAGCACTTTTGCGAATATTTCTTTATTATCTAAATCTCAACTTTTAAGATGACAGAACAAAGCATTTTAAATGTGTCTCAAATATATTTTAACTCCTAAATATTACTGACATTTTATAGAAATTTGTAACCTATTTATGCATCAATTCAGTTTAATTTTATTGATTTTGTTTTTTTTTTTAATATCTGAAATTTAAGTTTTAAATTAATAAATCCAGTTCCATTACCTTGAGAATTAAACTCTTTACTGGTGAAATTCCTTAGAATATCTATCTATCTAGAAATATGATGAGTAATTATTCTGTTGACTTGTTTCACAATACATGATTTCCTATCAGCTTCAAGACGAGACCTAGTCAAGGCGGGAAGCCCATCCCCGGATAAATATTCTGAATGCAACGTACGTTTGACAGATCACTATGTGCTACACATGACCAGTGTTGTAGGTATTACAACACTCTGAAAACAGCATGTGTTGTAATTTCACTCATTTCACAAGCTACATTCAAACCTGATCTAAGTCATGTTCAGACCTGACTTAAGAAATCAGTCCTCAACTCATGTAAGTGCCAGAATACATGCAAACAGCTGTTCCATTCAGAAATCCTTGAGAGGGTAACAAAAAAAAATCCAGTCAAAACAACCATTAGATCAGACAGTCTAATGTAGAAAAGATGTTGTGGCTCCTGAAACTTTGCACACTGTGAATAAAATGCTAGAAACCACTACAAAAAAGCAGCCACACACTGCACACAATTCAACTTTGTACACTGAGCTGTGATGAAGCAAATGACCTTTGTTCTTCAGTCATCTAGATTGTAAGTTATACCTGTGAAAGACACCAACAACAGCTGCATTCACGACCAGAACACTTCCTACAAGCACAAAAAGTACAACCAATCTCTCTCTTTAGTCTCTAGATCTCAAACAAAGGTCCCAGCTGTTAAAAGTCTAAAACCAACATCCTGTGTGCTCTGTCTGTTCCTGGTGTGCTCGCCTGCTCTGTTCGCCATGTTGTTTACTATAACTATCAAATTCAAGTGCGAAGCTTCCAGTCTCTCTGGGCCCCTTTGTGCCTCTCAGATACTCCGACCAAACAAGAATGATCTTTACTCACCAACTCTGACAGAAGTGCGTACTCGTCTTATAATCGCATACTATCTACTAACCCCTGTATTTCTTCGTCACACTGTAGCGCCCGCCCACGAACACGACAGCAAACCGTATAAAGTCAGTGCAGGCCAACTGAAGCTTTCAGTCTGAGCTGTGGGTAACTGTGTTTATACAGCGTAAACACTACCTCGCGGACTGTTACTTATATGGCAACATAACTTCTTCAAGTATCATTTTTTATTAATTTCTGCCTTTGTGTTGGTGCTTAAGGCTAGCAGTGGTGTCACGGAGCAGATACACTTTCATTTCTGGTTTGTGTGTGAGTAGCTACGCAACTTTAAAAAGCTAATGCTAAGGTGTTTGCGCATTTATGTTTATACACTGGAACTGGGTAACTACTCAGTTAGCCAACTGCTAACTTTAGTCATCTGGCAAGGAGAAACTAGCTAACTAACCTTGGCGTCTTGGCGGAGTCTCTATAAGGAAAACCGAAACTCTGCTACAACATGGAAAGAGAAGGGCAACTCGCCCTTTAGTTGTGTTTACAACTGTCGTTATATGCGCTTCTTTTTCAATAAAATGACAGCTGGCGAGGGCGGTATCTTCGTTTTGCAACCAGTCTCCGCCCCCTCACCACAGTAGTGCTGGACCAAAGAGCAAAGCGAATGCACCAATCACTGACGCATGCGCAGGTAGAGTTCACAATGTGGGTACGCATAGGTAAATCCTTCCAACGGTTAAACCAGCGGAGTTTCGTTTTAGCCCCAAAAGGTACGAGTTTTTATACAGATGTACTCTGTGGTGTTACCGGTTAAATAATGTTTTCTGGAGATACGTTTTTATGCAGAAATGAAGTAACTGCCGGAGCCTAGCTGTCAGCATGGTCCACAACAGGCGACTCAGTTCTTAGCTAGCACTGACTGTGTACAACTACAGTCACGAAGATATCATTAACGCTAATTCTGTTAGCTTAATCAGATCGTGTTAGTTTTGCCTTTCCGGAACATGCAGTAGAAATGTTAAGTTAATGCGATTTAACTGTGCATGACCCGAACGAATGCGTGGTTGTAGCTCGCACGTCATAACTGTGCATTAAAAGGTAATTTAACAAAATCAAGATGTCACTGATTTATGAATGGCTATCTTTTACTGTCACCTAGATTTAAGTGTTCTTCAATTTGCAGTGTTGGTTTTATATGCTGGGTTTGATTTACTGATTTCTTGTTTTGTTTGAATGAACATGCGTGATATCCAGACGTGTCACTACCAGCTAAAGAGAAGCACGTTAACTAGACTTTTTGCTATTAAACACTCACACTCAGATGTCTCTCAAATACTATACACAAATGCTAATATTGTGATCTCTTTCTTCCAAACATGAACACACACACATTACCTCAGTCTTGGTCCAAGGACATGCACACTAGATCCATTTGTAGCAACAACAACAAAAAAAAGTCTTAATCACTGTTTCAGCAAAGCATAAGATTTTTGGATTGATGCAAACTATTATTAACTAGCTAATTACTTTAGTCTGATAAATATTGTGTCTGGTTTCTAATAGGGCTTAACCATTTGGGGAAAATATCATTTTTTTCTCACAGAAATTCAACAGATTTGCAAAATATTTAAAGTCAGCTTTAATATTTATTGTGTGACAGATTTAAAACATGTGATGGATCATTACTGACAGAGACATATTCAAAATATTTACGGCTCCGTCTTCTAACAAAAAGATCACAGCTTATAGAAATAAAATGCTTCCAACATGCCTTTATTTCATTTTTATTAACAGCATTGTAGAAAGAACAATTATCACTAAACCTGTGACTGTGTTTACTTTTTATATAAATAATAAAAATAATGATAATAATAACAAGATCTTTTTGTCTCAGTCTCTGACAGTGAAATATTATCTATGGATCTGGAGCAGCCTCTAAATATTGCACATTATGCAATTAAATTAAAGTTATATTAATAAAAAGATAAATAAACCTTGGATCAGACTTGCTTCATAGGCTATATCCTGGATTGCAACCTTTGCGATTTTGATTTTAATTGCTCAGCCCCAGTGCACCCTACAGCTTGTTAAAGCTAATAGTAGTTCTTTATTTTTATTTTGCAGAGCATGAGGTTTTTTGCACTGATGTACGAAAGCTGTTGAATTGTTGTTGAATTGGGGCAAATGCCTTGTCCTGGTTTCAAATTCTGCTCCATCCTTGTCTCAGCTGTGTGTGTCCACCGGCTCCACACTGGTAGCACTGAGTCTACGTACAGCGACTATGATGGCCTATATCCTGGACACATCCCCACCAACCCCATTCAGAAAGCCCTGCTGGCTGTTGGGTCAGGGGTGGCAGCACTACGTGACCCCTACAGACATGGTGAGACTCTCACATCACCATCATGTTCAGACTGCATTCTCACTCACTGTTTGCACTGGTCTTTCTCTTTTTGTTTCACTGTCTGGCTTTTTATTAAAAACGCCTGCTTCATTAGGCAAAATGGTTCAGACACACACTGTACCTTTAACTGCAACTTTCATGGTGCAACTTTGACTGGGGATCCCACTCCTTCCTCTGCATGTTCCAAACCATCAAATAAAAATAGAATAAAATCTTCCAATGAACAGAAACAGAAAGCTGGGAAGCCAAGTAAACGATACAGTAACAAGCTGTATCTGTCTTGTTTGCGGTGCTGTTGTAAGCTACTTTAAAAAATGCAGCCAAGTCTATTGGTCTCATTCAGTCAAAAACAGTGAAACTAATTCAGTATTTTGTCTTGTCCATAGTTTGTTTTAAACACAGTTTTTCTGAGCTTTCGGTCTTATGAGCAGATGGGGTTCAGATGCTCTGAAAAACAAAAACATAAATCAAGTAAAACTTAAAAGAAAAGGACTATTCGATGAAACTGCTGATTCAAGAATGAACATCCAGGCTCTGTCAAACAAAACTTCATCAGGCTTGGATTGGGACTTTTCTAATTCCACTTTTTTTTTGCCTTCATGACTAAATTACAAGATGGAAACTTTGTGGCAGGAAGTCTTTCATACATATTAGATTACACTAAAATTTTCATGGGACATTTTTGGCATGTTGCTGCTTTACGTCATCCATCTATCCTGTAGCTGCACAACAAGTCTGTTGATGAAACCTCAGTCAGTCTGTAACTGATACTTACTGTGTATCAGCAAGGCTGTAACCTTGGCATGCCTTTAGCCTAAGGGAAAATCGTATCTTGTTATTTGTTAAATAAATGCTACCAGTGTTGGAGACTGTACATGAAGTTCTTCTCTCAAAAGCCATTAGAGAAAAGTTCTTCATTCTCAAGGTTTTATTCTCTGGAGACCATCGTTTCGTGCTTAAAAGATGTTTCCGTAGCAGAAATGAGAAAAAAAGAGTGAGACTACATGTTAGTTACCTCGAAACTCTCATGGAGGAAGAGAGTACTGACACCTGACAGCTGACATTTAGTCACAGGTTTAGATTCCAGGTGTGTCCATCCGACTTCCCACGCGTGGTATCGGTCAGTGTCCAAAAATGGATTCTAAAGTTTAACAATGCCGTTTTCATGACACTGGTAAACGCCAAGGTCTTTTTCTAACTCCATGCCCTCAATTCGTTAACCAGACCAATGAAAATGTGTCTTCTCCAACCTCAAACCAAGATGATTCTGATGAGATTGGTTTGAGACACACAGACATTTTCTCACACTTGAAAAATGTCTTCAAAGCCACAGAACAGCTGTTTTCACCATCTGACTGCTTCTCCCCACGATGAGTAAACAGGAGTGAGGAGAATTACAGTAAAGAAGCAGATTGGCCCTTTACTGTTAAGTACTGTAAACTGTACTTAACGAAACAAATATATCATAAATGCAACAACTTTGAGAATTTATAAGCAACTAAAAGCCTTGAAAGATGTCGTTATTGTACAATTATTCTCTTTTGATTCCAGGATGTTCTCTGTGTGTTTTACAGACATGGTTGCGGTGCTTGGAGAGGCGACCGGCCACCTTGCTCTCATAAACCTCAGGGACAGAATGAGAAACGACCCTGAAGGCTACACTATTCTAACGTGAGCTGGTGTGATTTTGGAAGCTGTCTGATTTTTCAAAAAGCGTTTTCTCTTATGTGAATGAAATTGTCTTTGCCGGTTGCTGCAGCGAAAGGCCGAGGATCCGTCTGTCAACAATCGACCTCACTAAGATGGCCTCGCTGCCCGAAGGCTCTTTTGGAAGAGAATACCTCCGCTTTCTGGAGGACAATGTGAGTGGCTGCTTAAGTGTCATGGAACACCGTGACAACGAAACTTTTCTACCTGTTATCCATTTCTAAACTTTCCCGTTTTGTCATCTTTTTTTTGCTCAGCACGTGACCCCTGACTCGAGGGCAGACGTGAAGTTTGTGGACGACGAGGAGCTAGCTTATGTTATGCTAAGATACAGAGAGGTCCATGATTTGATGCACACCTTACTGGGCATGCCCACTAACATGCTGGGTGAGTAATCTGAAAATGCTTCTTCGTATATATTCAGCACTATCCTGCAAAATTAGGCATCTAACAGTCAGAACTGTCTTAACTGTAGAAGCTCTCAAGCCAAGCATTGACCTTGTACGATGTATTATTAAGTCTCACACGTTGTTAGTTGGGGGGTACAGTGACTGGTGATGGAGCTTCATTGTGTCTCTTGTCCAACTGTCTGTAATTCAAAGCCGTTTCCTATGAAAAGTCGATCTGAGCTTTCAGTTTTGCAGACAGCGTGGCGGTATTAGTGCATAGATTCTATATCACAATGCACTGACCAACAGAGGGATAATGATTCGTTTCAGCACAGATGTCAGTGCGAACATCTTATACTGTTCACTGACTTCTGCTTCTTTCTTCTCTTTTCTTTATTAATTTGCATGTTTCTTTCTTTCTTGTGTCTTCCTGCTGCTTTCAGGTGAAGTGGCGGTGAAATGGTTTGAAGCTGCTCAGACGGGGCTTCCCATGTGCGCCTTTGGGGCCGTCTTGGGGCCTCTTCGACTGAATGCGAGGTACAACACCGGCAGTTGCAGAACAGTGCAGATTTTACACCACAGCTCAGTAATGCGTCACCTAGACATTTAGAAAGTGAGGCTAGTTAAAGTTTGAGTGACTCGTGAAAATGTTGGTAAACATTGCTGAGGAAATTACCATCTTAACCTTTGGGTTTTTTTTTTTTTTTTGATGACCCAAGTTTCACATTCATCCGTCATCTATTCACCGCTTAATCCTCACTAGGGTCACGGGGGGCTGGAGTCTATTCCAGCTGACTCAGGGTGAAGGCAGGGGACACCCTGGACAGGTCACCAGTCTATCACAGGGCTACACATAGAGACAGACAACCAAGCACACTCACATTCACACCTTTAGACAATTTAGAATCACCAATTAACCTCAGCATGCTATTGGACCTTGTGGCAGGAAGCCGGAGAACCCGGAGAGAACCCACACTGCAACAATGCTACCAACTGCACCACCTTGCAGCCCTTTATCACAAGTGGGTTCTCTCTGGGTTCTCCAGCTTCTTCCCTGCCTTCACCCTAAGTCAGCTGGGATAGGCTCCAGCCCCCCCATGACCCAAGTGAGGATTAAGTGGTGTATAGATAATGGATTTCCTTCAGCTCTTGTGTGGTGCCACAGAATAATACTTTAACATGTGGTGGAAATGATTGTCCCTGTTCATTATCACTTACAATAAAAGAAATAATATCCATTGTTAGGAAAATGAAAATGCCAGAAAGCAAGGAAAAAGGTACAAATGGATGAGTCAGTTTCATTATCATAGCCACCTTCAAATCTGAATTGTGTGGGCGTTTTGAGGAAGCACTCTGCCAACTGTTTGATGAATACCTTTAAACTATAAATCACTGAAACTTCCTCAATCGTTAACTGAACGTACTGTGCTTTCAAAGGAACTGGGTTGTGGCACGTTTATTGGAAATCAGGTAAATCTTGGCAGGTCTCCCACTCATTGTTTCATGGTGCTCATATTTTCTTGCTTCACCTTCTCCCAGCCGATTACAGACTCTGGTCACATCTCTGGGTCCTTGGGCTCTGAGGAACGGCCTGCGCGCCCGCTTTGTCCTCAGTATCTTCTTCGAGCGACGGTGGGAGCAGAGCCTCGAAGACCTCCGACAAGAGCTCAACATTGAGCCGCCCCCTGTGATACTCGGCGCTACCAACAAGACGAGCTCCTGAAACACAGCCAAATGTAATGACTGGTTCGGGAATCGCTGGACAAAAGACTTTCGGACAAAACCAGAAATGTTTGATGTGTGATGCTGTGGAATTTCTTATGAGAAGGATGTAACTTACTAAGGAGGAAATGGGAAATTTCACCCTTGGCAAAGCTTGACTTGTCCCTGATTGCATCGTAAATGTATCCGCTTTCATGTTCCATTAGCTTTGACTTAACTTGGTCCTGTCTAATGAAATGTTTTCACTTCTTTCTGGTGCTGCTGGACAGCAGGTCTAATTCAACAAATTCAGTTTCCCTCCGCTGTCCAGAATGTGATGTTTGTAATTGTATTTATGACAAAAAATAAAATCTGAATAATGTTTATTTGTAAGGACTAACTGGTTCCTATAATCAGCTTTGAAACAAAGTACTGATATTGATGCAGGATTCCTATTTTTATGCCAATGTTTGGCTAAAAGTTAAGGTGGTGTTTTTTTTGGACTATTCCTAAAATGTATTACAGCTGTCTGATTATTGAGAAACCACGTCGGGTTCACTGGTAGTTTCACAAACACTGATGGGGGAAAGAAGCATCAGTGAAGCTGCATGTGTTGATTCATTTTTACTGTACAGTACAGCAGCCTCCTTGTTACAGTAATAGTGACGTTAACAGGAAGTAAAATTCAGGTCAGTGGCTGAAATGTTTACAAGATGAACAAACCCAAAAAATAACCTTGTGGTTTTTCTCATTAAAACCACTTAATTGCTGAAAACCTATTTCAGCATTTTTTATTTATTTATTTTTTTTAAATGTCTACATAGTTCATTTAATAGCTCAGAAAAGACTGTTTTTTTTAAACCTAAAAGCTTAAGAAACAGGACACACAAATAACTGATTTTACTCATGAATATGATTGTTAGATGTGAAAAACTAACCTCAATAATGGTGCATTTCGTTACATATTGAGGAGAATAACCCGCTCCACCTTCTCTGCTTTTTATTTTATCACATCCATCCATCCATTATCTACACACCGCTTAATCCTCACTAGGGTCACGGGGGGCTGGAGTCTATCCCAGCTGACTCAGGGTGAAGGCAGGGGACACCCTGGACAGGTCACCAGTCTGTCACATGGCTACACTTAGAGACAGACAACCAAGCACACTCACATTCACACCTAGGGACAACATTCAGTTAACGATTGAGGAAGTTTCAATGATTTATAGAAACGGTTAAAAGGTATTTATCAAACAGGTGGCATTGTTTCCTTATAACGGCCACACAGTTCAGATTTGAAGGTGGCTATGATAATGAAACTGACTCATCCATTTATACCTTTTTCCTTGCTT